AGGGAACCCTTGGTGGGCACCCGGAGCATCTTGAGCAGTGGGGAGCTGTTGGAGAGGGGGGAAGGTGTGGGTCTAGCCTTGATGGGGACCCGGGGGAGCCCAGGTGGCTCTTACATGGTGGTGGAGGCCAGGTTGGTGTCCTCGTGCTTGAGCTTGCCATCGAGAGCGAGGCCTCGCTTCTCGCGGTTGGCGGAGAGCGTGGGGGTGACGGAGTACGTTTTGGAGAAGGTGGAGTTGGCCGCCACGGTCTCGCTGGAAGGGGTGGGAGAGGAGAGCTCAGAGCCAGCACCAGCCTCGTGGGTGCTTAGCACCCGCCAGGGATGCTCAGCATCGCGCCAGGCACCTGGGCAGAGCCAGACTGCCCTCCCCCCACAGCTGCCTGGGCCTGTTTCCTCCTTTCGTTCCCTTATACAACCACTTCTTTTTTCTGTCCCCTGCCTTTGCTGAAGCCCTCCTCGTTCTCAGGGGTGCAGAGCCTGCAGCTGACCTCCGAGATGCAAAGCGAGGAGGGGAAGCAGCCGGGGGCAGCTGCACACCTTCCCCCAGGGACCTTCCCAGCCAGCACCAGCTTGTGCTGGGGGCACGGTGTCCGCAGCCTTCCCTCTCCTCTGCTTCCTCTCCATCTGCTCTTCTAACCCTGATATTTTTGCTGCCTGGTGTAAAACCATCTTCCCCACCGCCTCTCCCCTCCTCCTCTTTTCTCTTCCTCCCTCTGTCCTCAATGCTGTACCACCCCCAGCCCCTTTTTTTCTTACTTTATCTCCTCAGTGCACACAGTCTTTGTGTATTTATCCAGCGAGTAGAGGACCACGTCTGTGATCTGATCAACTGAGGAGACACCAGAGGACGCAGCGTTGGTGATGCAGCAGAGGCACGGGTGCACGGTCCCCATCTCCGACAGGGAGGCTGGGATGAGGTGGGTGCTAGGACGTGCCCCTCCTGCCCCCTCTCACCTGAAATCTTAATTTTTTTAACAATCTTGTTAGTGGTGTTGTTGATATTGACAGTCACATTGATGGGGTCTCCGTGGTAGTAGATCTGCAGTGGCAAGAGGCTTGGTTACATGACCGGGCATCCCAGTCCCTGTCCCTGGGGATGCCCGTGGTGGCACGAGCCAGGGGACAGCCACTGTACTGACCTCCTTATCCAGGGAGGCTTCAAGGTGCAGGGGCTTGTCGGACATCATGAACTGCCGGGTGGTCTCTGACTTGGGGGCTGGCCCCGTATTTGGGGGGGCAAACTGGATCTTGCGGATGACGAGGCGCACCGAGTTCCTGTGGGGTGAGAAGCGGTCACCCCCCGACCCCCTGGCAGGGGCACATGCCAACTGGCTTCGGGGACATTACAGTGTCACTAGTCAAAGGATACAAGCTGCAGCCTGCTCTCAGGATGTGGTGGGTGCTGCCATGGGGACCACTTCGGGCAAAGTGCCCGATCCAAGCATGGCACAGGCTGACAGCGGGTCTTCAGCCTGACCCCCGAGCTGGCCACCCCAAAACCCTCTGGCGGTTTGGTTTTAGGGGCCATGGGGCAGGAAAGGGATCCCCTGCAAATACCTCTTGTGAATTTTCTCCTCCAGATTTTCAGCACAAAATCCTTTCACCTCAAAGTCCACGCCGCAGGCCTAGGGGGACAGGGGTGGTCACTAAGCAGGAGGGGCTCAGTGCTGCCTGAGGTTTGGGTTCGTTCCCCTCCTTTCCTCCCCTGCATCCCTGGAGACCCTGGTCCCAGCTCCAGCCATCCTTCCTCCCCACCCCTCACCCCGTCGGCCATGTCCCCATGGAAGAGAAGCAGCTCTCATTTTTGGCACCCCACAACTTAACCCTCTGCCAGGGGGAATGGGCCCAGGGGACACGGGCTGGGGACAGCAGCTCACTTTTCCCACATCGTCTGGTCCCGGCTGGAGGGTGACCGAGCAGGGCAGGTTGGTGGCAATCTGGGCAGAACAGAAAAAGAGAAAAAAAAAAAATAAAAGAGAAAAAAAATAAAGAGCGTGCGCAGGGATGAGCCCTGGTGCCCACCGTGGAGGTGTGCGGTCGGGAAGGGCTGGGCGCCCCTACCTCGAAGGTGAAGGGGTAGGCATTCTCCCCAAGCTTCTTCATCAGCTTCTCCTGCAAAGGAGTGAGGGTTTTGGGCACCTGGTCCGGCACCGGCGGGAAGATCTGGGTGGTCAGGACGTAGAGGTCCTTCCTGAAGGTCAGCCCGATAACGTCGAGGTCATCTCGGCCGTAGCGGAACGCGCAGGTCAGGGTCACGTACACTGAAACCGGGTGGAAACGGAGAGGAGTGGGGTCAGGAGAAGGGGGAGATAAAGGGAAGGCATGAGGGGAAAGGGGGTGGGAATAGAGGAAAGAAAGAAAAACTACTTTAGTAACTCTATAGGAGAAATATGACCCTGTTTTCAGGACCCTGACCACAAACACCACATTAACAAGATTGATCGCATCTTTCTGCAAGGCACGGGTACTTCAGAGCCAGTGCCCCGGGCAGAGGAGGTGAGAAGGAGGAGGCAGCTTTCCTCCCCAGGTCAGCCACCACGGCCCTGATGTACAACAAGCTGTAGACAACCTGTTGCAGTTTAACCTGGCTGCAGTCCCAGGTCGCTTGTGAGCTTTGCACCGGTTTCCATCCCTTCCCCTTATAACGGGGGTTTGGTGCCTCAATACCTTTTCTGTCCTTTAGGTACTCCGGGTCGATGAGGCAGACACCATCTGCAAACAAGCAGAAAGAAGGGCTGGTGAGCTCAGCTGCCTGGGAAGATCCTTGCAAAAATACTCTGCTTTTAAAATTAAAATAGTCTGCTCATCAGCTGGGAAGGTGACCGAGGGAGCTGCCGGTCAGGGGGACGGCAATGCCCCCTCCAGCATCACCACTGGCAGCACGGCCGGGTTTTTCTGCAAAGGGACTTTGTCCCTTTCCCCACCTTTTTTCTGCAAGGGCATTTGCAGGAAAATGGGCTGTTTGCTCCTCCTGCTCTGTCGGGAAGCAGAGGGGAGCAGCCACCAGCACAGGGCGCGCGTGCGTCCCCCTCCATCACAGGCACAACCCCACTCACCTACAGAGTCCACGGAATCCACGTGATCCACAAAATCTCTCTTCCCCAGGTAGATGGATAGCTGGAGGCAGAATGTGGTGAGAGAAGGGAACAGGTCAGTGTTTGCCATTGAATTGGCCAAAATTTTCAAGCCCTGAGTTGTGTCATGGGGCTTGTTAACCCCTGCCATTAGAACCTCGGACTGGACATTGCATTTTAGGTTTTTTTTTTTTCAATTTCTATTTTGAAAAGCGAGCCCAGCGGTGGCATCACAGCAGGTATAGCAGGAGTCAATTGGGAGATTTCAAAGGGAAGGGAAACCCATCCTGTGTCCCATCCCGTGGGCACTGCCACCAAGGGAGCCCCAGCAGCACGTGGTCCCGTCCCTGGGTCCACGCACTCACCTTGCTGTTGGGACTGGTCTTCTTGAACACCCTGCAGAGGGAACACAGAGAGAGGGGTTGGAAATGCCCTGGATGGGGCTGGACGTGGCACATCCCGCTCCTGGGGCAGGCAGGGAGTGGGGGGGGCTGTCCCTCTGCCTGGGGCGAGGATGGAGGGGGCTTCCCTGCGAGCATGGAGCATCTCCAAGGTGCTATGTGCATGGGATGTTCTGGCACTGGGGAATTTGGCATCCTGCAAATTTAGAGCCCAAACCCACCCCGTCTGGCTGCCCCAGAGGATGTCACACACCTGAGCTCAGTGTGGGACCGGGGAGGAGGGGGTGTGTTGGGTGGCTGTGGCTTAAGGGCAAGTGAGAAAGCACCAACGTGGAGAAGAAAAGAGAAGGGGCTTTGCTGGCCCCGTGACAGCTCACTCCATCTCGCTACAGTGACCTCACGTACCCCCGTGAGGGCAGCGGGTGGGGGGAGCTGGGGGACTCATTTTCTCCCCCTGCTCCATCCCAATTAACAAAAAAAAACCACTTACTTTGATCCGTCTGCCATTTTAAGTCAGCGGCTGTGCAGCCAGGGATCTGCAGGGAGAGACGCAGGGGAAGGGCTGGGTGAGGTGGTGGGGAAGAGGCAGCTACCGGCCATCCCAGCCAGCAGAAAAAGAGTCATTCCCATCCCAAAACCATTCCCATCCCAACAACCTGCAGAGCCCTTGGGATACGGTGCTGCTGTGCCTTTTGCCTGGGATGCTCTGGGTTCAGCTGGAGGGTCCCAGCTCTGGGGAAGCACCCAGGGCAGATGTTAGCAGCTGGAGACCCAGCAGGGGGGCCGAGCCGAGCCAGCCCCTCGCCCCCAGCCAAAAAAGCAGCGAAGGGGAGGTGGGGGGAAAAAAGGGAGAGCGATGCCCCAGGCAGGGTGGACTTCAGAAAACAGGATGCACAGGGGTGACTCCCAGGGGAGTGAGTTCAAAGCAGGGAAAAGCAAGAAAATGAACAAAAGGGCTTATGGAGTTTCAATTTTATGAATTTTTCTTGTCTGCAGGAAATTGGCTGTCATGGCTTAACAGCAGGAACGGGCTCGTTTTGTCCCATTGCTCACAGCAGACTGAGGAAACAGCAGGCAGAAAGGTTGAGGGCAGCTTAACCAGGCCCTCACCCCCAGCCCCTCCGTCCCCATCCCTGGGTCCCCATCCCTGGGCGGCAGCGCCGGAGGCAGCTCTGGGGACCCAGCCAGGGCTGCCAAGCCCTGCCTGCTCGTGCTGCCTGTGTTTCGCTTGCTCAAGCTTGATGTTCAGAATTAAACTGTAAATATCACACTGATCACCAGCTGATTCGCCGGGAGATTAGATGGGATGAGCTCAGCTTCTTAAAGTTAGGCAGCTCTGACATTAGCAGAGCTTAAGCCCAGGCAGGATTTTAAGCCCCAGGGGTGTGTGGGCGCAGTCGCCTCTTTACGCAACCATAGGGATGCTGGAGAGAAGGAAGAAATTGATATGGGAGGAGATGATCCTCTTCCCCAGAGAAAAACAAGGGATTAGTCCCAAACACGGGAGTTTTGATGCCCTGGGGTGCTGCGGGATGCGGAGCTCGGGCATCCTCACCCGCAGGTTTCTTGGGCAACAGCAAGAGAAGGTATGAAGGGAGTGGGAGCGGAGCGATGCCACGGGCTCAGCCCTCTGCAGAGCCTGGGAATTGGGGACAAGGTGATGAAAGGTGGAGGAGAAATGAGCCAAACTCCTCCTCTGCATCTCCCAAGGTGCTGAGAGGGGGTCTCAGAGCCCTCCTGGCTTGGCTGAGCTCTCCTGCTGCCACCAGCCCCTCCGCCCGTCCCCCTGAAATCCTTCTGGCCACATTTTTTCCTTTTTCAGCCCCAAACCTCCCTCCTTCCAGCCACTGTCCAGCACCAACCTCCCTTCCCCAAAGCATTTTACAAACCAGCAGATTCCGTGCCCCAACACGCTGCTGGGGCGCAGGCAGCACTCACCTGTCAGGAGGACAGACAGACAGACTCTCTCCTCTTCCTCTCCCCGCACGTCCCACTGCCACCCCGTCACTCCGGGCTGCTCCCAGTCCTGCTGCTTCTTATACCCCCCTGGCAGTCCCTCCCCTGGCATCTGACCTCGCTCTGGCCAGAGATGCACGGGGTGCGTGTGCGCACCGTGGGAGAGGTGCTTTTGGGCAGAATCCAATTAGTTGATTAACCAGGGAGACGCTCCGCGAGTAAGAGTGGGCTATAAATACGGCTGCTGCCGGAGCCCTGCGAAAGCAGCTTACCGAGATTGGCAAAGTGGGCTTAGGAGCAAGGTGATGGTAATTGAGGTGGAAGCTCTGCGCCCGGCAGGCAGGGGTGCAGATTGCTGCCATGGCCAGTGGAGCTGGGCCAGCCCTGGGCACAAATTGGGATAGAGATGGCAGGAGGGACCTGCCTGGTTTCATCCCTCCCTTACACACTTTGCTGGTGGCTCCTTCCGTGGCCAACGTCCCCATCTGGCTGGTCACCTGGAGGTAGCCCACTGCAGTCCAGGGCATGTGGGATGCCCGTGACATGAGGATGCTGATGTATGAGACAACAGGGAAAAAGCAGATACGAGGTTTGCTCCTCCTGGAAAGCAGCAGGGAAGGGCCAGCCCCCTCTTGGAGGTGGGACACAGACCTGCCACCATCCCCCAGCACCGTCATTTCATAACGCCGCTGGCTGGCCTCACCTGACCCAATTAGCACATCATTAATTCAAGGTTTGCTGCTGCAAATAGAAAACTCTTGAAAGTGCAGAGTGGATTTGCCTTGCCGCTGGCTAGGAGAGAAGCACTCCCCGATACCATCTTCCCCCAGCCATTGCCACTGCGCAGGATCCCCCCATGCCATGGGGGGGGGCTGCAGGATGCTGGTGGGGATGCTGCCCCCAGGTCGGCCCTAGGGACAGCGCACAGACCCCAGGGCAGCTGCAGACTGCCCTGCTCATCTCCCTCACCTCCAGCATCCCTCACGCCCTTGCCTGCCCGGCCAGACCCTTTGCTTTGAGGGTTTGAGGTTTTGGCTCAGCCTCCAGAGCTGAGCACCCAAGTTGGGATGTCCCCAGTGTGCTTCATCCCAGAGCTGCCAGTAGCCTCCTCCCAGAACCCTGGATCATCTCAACAACCTTTAGCACCTGGGTACCAACACCTCCCAAATGCAGCCCACCGGTGCCCCTAGTCCCGTCGGCCACCAGGAGCCACTGGGAAACACTGAGAGCCACCACGGCCCCCCAGTCCCACCAGCCCTGCTGCCTGGGGCTTTAGCTGTCAGCACACGTTGCCCGTGGCCGAGACTTGTGATCTCTTTAATTGCACACAGGAGAGCTGCTTAATTTGCCGATTAGCAGCTGCTATTTCTGCCAAGGTCGGGGGGACACGTGAACTGTGACCTTCCCGCTGGCGGGAGGAAGACCACTGGCGGGTGGAAGAGGAGGAGGAGGAGGAGGAGGTGACAGTCCCACCTGGACACTCACTGCCCCCAGTGCCATGCCCAGGACAGCTAATCCCGAGGGCTCTGTTTGCAGCAGTTCGTTAGGCTCTTAATAAGCCCAATGCCATTCATAAGGGCCATGGCCATAGGGTCTGTGGAGCGTGGTGAGGATGGAGAGCAGGTTTCATCACAGGCAGCCTCAGCTCATTTTAATCCTGACTGCATGGATTCAGCCAGGGAGACCTTGCCCAGGTAGGGGAGCAGATATTTCCCCCCCAAACCAGTGGTGAGACGGACAGACCACATCCCTTCCCGCGCTCGCGCCGTGCTCCGAACCACGCACCGGGGAAGGAAGCTGGGGGATGCAGCGCCGTGTTATAAATAACAGGGAAATGAGAGAGGGCTTCTTCCTTTTTCCTGTTTAATCAATGGCCAAAGGCTCTTCTCATCTGCCCCGTCCCTCCCCACCCCCCAGGTCCATGCATGGCATGAACCACAGCTCCACCGGCCCCTTCCAGCGGGCAGGACACTGGTGGACGTGGGGCTGGTGGAGCCTGGGGGGCCCAGCTTCATCCCTGGCTCCGGTGGAGCCACATCACCTTCCAAAATAAAACAGTTCTGGGTGCTGGCAGAGCTCCCCGAGTGCTGGTGCATCCGGCAACATCCCAGCTCAGCCTCTGGCACCGCAGCTGCCTTACGTAAATGCCAGCACTGCTGATTTCTCAAAGCCCCTCAGAGCTCCAGTTCTTCCTCCCCTGATCTGGATTATGGGGTGCAGATGGCATTAATCCGAAGCCAGGCGCCTCCGCGGCGGCGGGGAATTATTGCTGCGCTGTTAAGTAACAGGAGGGAGCAGCACTGGTGGGAGGGGGTGTCTGGCAGGATGGGGGGCTCTG